TTATTTCTCCAGACAATGTCTTCGTGTCTGGACCCAAGGCACAGGTTAGCTTTGCATCAGCGTCTTGGCTTGTTCTTGCAGAGGCCCTTCCGCTGGACATCGCTCGCCCGGCTCTGCTCAATACACTTGCACACCCCGACGCTCTCAAACCCTTGACCCCCTATCTATGGCACCATGTGTGCGATGCCCTCGCTACCGTGGGCTTGTTCGATAAGTGTGTGGAGATCATGACCAGTTACTGGGGAGGTATGGTCCGCGCCGGTGCTGACACCTTTTGGGAGTGCTACAACCCCGAAGATCCTCGGGCAAGTCCCTACGGTGATGCTCGAAACAACAGTTTCTGTCACGCTTGGAGCTGTACCCCGACGTACCTACTAAGGGGGAATCTGAGAGAGTTTCTCGGCGTCAAGGAAACGAAGTCGGTCACCATGGGTCACTTGGACGAATATTGGATCAAGTCACAGGTCGGGAGTCAATAAGACAGCAGTCAGTCGGTGATTAGTGTAATTTGAGTCATGTGGTAGACGCCAGAGAAAGTTGATAATCATTTCCCGAATGATATGTGCAGCTTGGCTTTTCCAATTAAGTATGTACAGGAAAATGAGATCGGCTCGTTTCTTGTCGAGCCGGGTCCTGGTTGCTTCATGTTCATGATCTTCTCGCGCTTAAGCGGCGCCAGCAAGAGCACTGGCGGGCTTGGCACCAGGGTAGAAGGTGGTGGGGATGGCGGGGATATCGATGGACTTGGTGATGCCGAGTCCGGCGGTGACGAGGCCGGGCATAGTGGCAGCGGAGTAGCTGGTGACGGTCTTGGTGGTAGCAGTGCTGGTGTAGGTTCCAGAGCCGGTGCGCATGCAGTGACCGGTGCCGAAGGCGTTGTTGCACTTGTCGACGATGGAAGAGCCAGACTCGGTCCAGATGTTGATGCCGGACACGTCAATGTTCTCGCAAGGGACGGCGGCAGCGCAGAGGGCGACCACGGGACCGCGAGCGGCACCGTTGGCGGCGGTACCCTTCCAGTTGGAGAAGGTCAGGTTCTTGTACTCGACACCGTTGCCAGCGACCTTGCTCTGGCCGGCCCAGGCAGAGTCGATCTTGAGGGAGTAGGCGTTGCCGTGACCGATGAAGTTCTCGAACTTGGCGTTCTGGAAGGCACCATCACCACCGTTGTTCTTGATCATGAGCATCTGGTTGGAGTTGGAGGTGTAGACGTTGCGGTAGTGGATGTCGGAGATGGCTACAAACAATCCTTGTTAATAGTTGCATCGTCATGGAGCGAGTCCTCTCGGGACCTGAACGTACCAGTGTCAACGCCCAATGAGCCGATACCACAGCCTCCGGACCAGTTGCAGAAGACATTCTCGACGAGAATGTTGCTAGACTTGTTCTTGACAGTGACGCACTCGTCCTTGTTGGTGACGGCGACGTCGTGAACGTGCACGTTCTTGGCAGCCATCAAGTTGAAGCCATCAAGACCGCCCTGATTTCCACCACGGACAATCATGTTGTAGACCTCTCCGTTGGTGACGGTGTCCATGACGAAGTGGAAGGCCGGTGAGTCGACGAGAGCAATGTCATGAACGCTGAAGTCGGTGACAGAGACGAATCTCAGGAGACGAGGTCCGTAGACACCGCTGCCCTCTGTCATATCGTCAGTATCGTGTCGTGGCGATTGGTAGGAGTGGGAATGGCTTACGCTTGTGGAACTCATAGCCATAGCCCTGCATGGCACCCTTGGAGTTGCCGCTGTAAAACTCGACATCGGTCGACTTTTGGACAATAATCATGTGGCCGCCAGCAGTTCCAGTGCGGTAGATGGTACCCTCGAGGTTGATGGAAACACCAGTTCCGCCGGAGAGAGTCTGCCAAGTGCCGAGACCCCATTCACCGGCGGGGATGAGAATCTCACCTCCGGTCTTGCAGGCGTCCCAAGCGGACTTGAGGGCCGCGCCGATGTCTCCGGTGGCACCGGTCTTGGCGCCGTAGCTGGTGATGTTACATGTCTTCTTGGCGGCCTTGGTAGCAGCCTTGGTGGTAGGTCCAACGGTGCCAGACAGCTGGGCGTTGGCCAGTTCCGGGATAAGAGCGCCCAGCGCAAGGAGTGAAAAGGAAGCAAACTTCATGTTTGTAGATTTTTAAACGAGTGAATACCGACAGGAACGTCGAGAACTGGAAGAGCAAAAAAAAAAAGAAAATGAGAGGCACCGGAATGGGAAGATGGGAATGAACAGCGAAAACGATCAGTTTGTATCTCTCTAAGAAAAAGGGCCCCAATGAGATGATAAAAGGAATCCCCTTCTCCGATTTCCCCTAACTTCCTCCACCAATGGGCCCAGCAGCCTTACCTCGAGTCCTCGACTCCTGTGGTCGATTCGCCATTTGCAGTACCCACGCCGCTTCCGCCAGCGACCCCACGATCCGTCCCATTGTTTGTGGGAAATTGAACGGAACAGGTGCTCTGGAGAGTGGCTGTTTGACGAATCACGAACATCGAGCCCTCTGCATCCGGGATTCTGAGGCCGTGTTAATTAATTAAAAGAACAACACAGACAGTGGGCTCAAGAGTGAGCTCGCTTCACTCAAATGCCGTCCAAATGGGTATTAGAGGTATGAAATAGAGTACGTGGTGGCGCTATCGGGGCCTGGCCGCCAGACCATTCTCTTTACCCCCGGTAGTTACAACCAGGGGTACTGCTTGTTGGACTGCTTTACCTCAGCATCCCTACGAAGTACTCTGCAAAAACACAAGGTCTAATCTTCTCGACGAACCAGGGCCATCAGGGGCCGACCTGGAGCGGTGCTGGGGCGAGCTTTGGTGAAACAAAAGGAAACGGCACAGATGAGCCGCGTCATGGTTGCTGTTCGTCCCGTCGTGGTCAAAACTTCAAAGTATATCTCATCTGTCTGGCACACGCTGCCCACGGCAAGGGCCACAGACTGATTAAAAAGAGATGACCCAGCCGCATCTTCTGCCCAACAAGTTAAGGAACTGTCTCAACCATCATCCCGCATTTTGGTATAATCACATCAAGATCCAAACTGGGGGGCTGACGACTGATGATCTAGGCGCGGCAGAAATTCTACCCAGCATCATGTCCCACGTCCCAACGAGAAAGTATCGGCATCCCACTGCCGGGTCAAGTTCGAAACGGCCTAGGGGGAGAAATTTCCAAGTCCTTATTTTGATTAACAGTGTCCGCAGCCTTCGTATCAGATACAGAACGTCCGGGTATGCACTTCCGTATACCGTCGTCCGAACTGGCCAAAAACCGATGCTTCTGGAACTGCTTCCATTCGGACTGCCAAGCGCCGTGTCGTAACGGCGATGCTCCGTGAGCCAAGACGGGGACGTTGAAGCAACAGATCGGGACCACTATCGGACTATGCGTGCCGTTCGGAGAATATTCTCTCTATCCTCCTTCTCTTTCGGGAGTTGGCCCATCACGAGTTTTCCAGATTTTTCAGGGCTTTCTCGATGTGACCCGCTGTGCAATGGTTCGAGAATCTAGATGAAGATCTTCTTGATCAGGAACTACCATTTATTGGCTACTGCCGGCACTTGACTCGCCCACGCAAAGAGCCACAAAAAATGGAGCGGAACCTCCTCCACTAGTGAGCTCGTCAATGATCACGGGTTCTGGGACGGACTGCAAACGCGGCTCAATCAGCGGTCTCGCTTCTTAACTTCAACCCTTAGAAGCTAGAAGTTCTAGGAACAGATGGATACTGCGTAGAGAAGCGTGACCTCGATCCAGTCAATGGACCTTGGGAACAGCTGCAACGCCGCGTCTGCTGTCAGCCTGTTCCTAAGACTGATGTTCGTACATACTCTGTATTTCGCATATGTGGTGACGAAGCTGCGCGGCTGCTACATGAGCAATCCACCATGCCAAAGTAGCACTGTTTCTCCCTTCTTGTCTCCGTTCCATTCATCTACCTCTAGCTTCTGAGATCTCGATATGCACGACCCCTCAACATCCCTTGAGCCAAGAATAAGCTTACCACTGCAGCGCAAAATGAGCGGTATGTCAGCAGAAGGCATGGAACCAACCACGAGAGCCCAGAGGTCCAAGTGAGATTGTCTGTGAGACCCAGCCCTCTGGCGTATGACAGGTGCAACTGCGCCGCCGCCTCCGGAACTCCTTTGGCTCACCTCCCGGCGGCCTTCGCCTTGACTCGAATCGTCCTAGTCGGCGACTCGTCCATCCGCCCTCAGCACCAAGACGCTCAGCAGAGACTTGGGTCGTAGCTCAGCCCTGCGACGCACGCCTATCGCGTCTGTTAATCGGGGCTGACGGTGCTACTCTGCCTACCACAAGGTTCTGCAGCTTGCATCCTCCGCTATCCCATTTGCTCGGAAAGGCCCGAGTCCGGGGGAAGAAGATGAAAGAAGGATTCATCACCACCCGGATGCAAGGGATGCAGATGCCCGTCTCACTCTGCATAGCCTATACCATACTTTATTCCGTAGGGCGGCGTGCTTTCAGCTCCGGGAGTTCTGCGGGCGGTGCGTATGCGCAGCAGACTTTCAACGTGCTGTTTGATTTACACACCAATTTCGGCTTGGGAGGAACGGCACACCTTGGTCACGATAATGGCTGGTTTGCTGTCGTGTTGCGGTCTCTTTGCGAGATCCCTCTGAACGCATAGCCGGCTGTAGTAAGGTGTAGGCTAATCTGGGAGATGACGATGGAAATAGTTTCCGAGCAAATGATCTGTATCTCAGTTGTTGTCAGATGTCTATAAATCCGATTTGGTTCTCTCCCCGATATGGCCTCTCTCTCTCTCTCTTTTTCTTCTCATCGACAATCACTTCAAACAGTTCGTTTACAGCCCAACATTTTCTTTTCCTCTTTTTTCTTTCCTATTTCCTTATTTCCTTTGTCGGTTTCTCTTTCCTTGGGACAATCGCTCAATCTTCAAACCTCGACTCCTTCTCTCTCACACTCGTCAACTTCTGCTTAATCTTAACTCGAATCCACCACGTCTATCAATCAACAATGCATTCTTCCATCGTCCTCTCTTTTCTCGCTGCCATCGCAACCCTTGCCTCGGCGAGCCCTTCCCTCAACACCAAGCGCGACGACACGGTCTGCGCACCGGGTACTGGCTTCTTTCAGTCCTGTGCCAATGGCTTCCGCGGCTGCTGCAAGGCCGACGCCTGCACCATCGGCTACTGCCCCGACCTGGCCATTGCCTCCTCCTCAAAGCGCGCCGCCGACCCTACAGTCTGCGCACCCGGCACCGGCTTCTTCCAGTCGTGCGCCAACGGCTTCCGCGGGTGCTGCAAGCAGGACGCCTGCACTATTGGCTACTGCCCGGACGTCAAGACCTTTGAGACGGTGACCAAGACGGCCCCTCAGACAACCGCCACTCCGACCCCCGAGAGCAAGTCTAACGCCAACGCCGACCCTACCGTCTGCGCACCCGGCACCGGCTTCTTCCAGTCGTGCGCCAACGGCTTTCGCGGCTGCTGCAAGTCTGACGCTTGCACTATCGGCTACTGCCCTTCCAATTAAAGGGTTGGTTTATTGACAAGGAGTTGGGCATACGTAGACGGATCGACAATCGTGGTTGATGAGCTTGCGAGGATGAAAGATGGTATAAATGGCATTACACGGTGGAGTTTGAGCATAGCATTAGGGCGTTTGTTCTTTTTTTATTTTAGTATAGTAGCGCGCGCATCTCGGTTGAACTTGGTCACTTGGAAGATAATACACCCACACTCCTTTCTTGTTGCGATTGCCATGACTGATATGCAAATTCGTTGGCAAGTGATGAACGTGACCTTGATGCGAGGGAGGGAGGGGTACTCACTGCCCGTGTGTTTTATCAGAAGTTGTGATTTCATAAAGGATCTGCAATCTGACGAGGCCTTTGTATAAAAATGGCGAAGGGTCCTAACGTTCTAACACAAGGCAAAGTAAAGTATATGTAATTGCTAATGAAATCGCGAGGCTATGCATACAGGCCTCATACAGAAATGAAGTAATCGCGAAACGAGTCCACAAAGGCCTCCCCTCATGTAGTCGAACCAGCCTCGGCCTGTTACCCGGCCACAGTCTCACACCACCCACTTCCCCACCTTACTCGAGTCCCCTGAACCGACGGTTGAACTCCTCCACAGCCACGGCCACCATCTTGTACAAAAATGCGCGGCCACTTTCATCGCCAACAGGTAGAAACGGACCGTTCGTGCCTCCCCGCAGCGTCAGGCTCAGGCCAGTCCGCTCCTTGGCAATCGTCTGTACGTCCTTGAGGGGCACATCCCATTCCGACGTCAGTCGCCGGCTACGAATAAGCAAAATCCGAGCGTAAGTGACCATGACAACCATGTCCTCGCGTGGCAGTTCGAGATGGGCAATGTAGTTCTCGTTGAAGTACTTGCCATTGTCGACCTGCTTCAACCATGACTGGCCAAGAGCTTCCCGGGCATTGTACGGTCGCACGATACCATCAGAGGGCACGAATCGAGCAGGGCGGACGCGATCGAGTTCTGAGCCGTCAAAGACGGTGGTCGTGTTGCGGATGCCTTCCGAGACATTCGAGGCCATGTCTAGAACGCCAATAGCGGGCTTGGTAGCGAATCCGACGACACCCTTGCCGATTCCCTTGAAAAATCCAACAGCACCCTCCTGCTCGGCACCCTCCAACGGTTTGCGGACGAGTCCACCCACGCCAGAAGCGGCGCTTGTGAAGAAAGAGTTGGCACCGGTGGTGACACCATACAGAGCATGTTTTGGCCGATTGCGTGCACGCGTAATACGACGACGATCTTGGAATTGCTTGTCGAGAGTCGCAGCTGCAAGGCCCTTTGACAAGCTCCCGGTGAATTTGGAGAAGGAATCGGTGAAGCCGTAGACAGACTTCTTGACAAGTGACGCGGCTCCCTTCGCAACTCCGATACCAAAGTCCTCGGGCTTGTCCGAAAGAATGAGGCCTTGGTAGGGTTCGTAGAACACGTCTGTAAGCCCGGAGCTGATGTTGTTGAACAAACCAACGGGGTTTCCGAGGAAGTCGGCAGACCCGAGGATCTTGTGAACCTGGTAGAGAACTTCTTGGCTGTAGTGACTTGTGATGTTTTGTGTCAAGGCAGCCACGGACACGCGAACGTTGTCTAGCATAAGTGCATTAAGGCGAATCGGCGCATCGTTGATATTACCGATGGCCATCGTCATGACATTGAGGAAAAACATGAGAGGGTTTCGGGACGACGTCTTGTCCTCGGCATTGACTCGTTCCGTGCGCATGAAGGAGAGGTCGAGTTGCATGGGCTGGATGTTGAGCAGCTCGAAGTAGATGTCTTGGCCAGATTGCTGCCGCTGCGGCTCCGGGATGTCCAGCTCCTCGTCACAAAGTTTGCCTTCCTCATTGGTATCTGACCAGGCGGCCCCAGGAATATTGGAGAAGTCCAAGACAGCGTAAACAAAGTCCTCATCGAGCTCGATTGTCATCTGCTGCATCAACAGTGTCGCGTACTTGATGTACAGCACCCCGTAAGAGTCGTCCTTCACGCGAGTAACCATGGCGTGAAGTGAGGGATGTGCGTCGACCTCTTGAGCCCTCTTTGGAACGACACTCGGATATAAAATCATCGGGAATAGACCACCGTACAGCTGGTTGTCTATCTGAATCCATTTGACAGATAGAGCGATAGTCTGATGCAGGGGAGAATCGTGGTAACGAAGAGAGACGTCTCTGAATGTGACGTATGCAAGTTCCTTTAGTTGTGAGTTGATGAGCGAAATTCCAATGCCCGAAAGCTTCAGCTGAGCGCGGAAGGTTGCAGTCGTCTCTTGATCTTTGACCTCAAAGCCATCGGTGCTCGTGCGAGATCCAGACTTGGACTTCTGTCGATACAGACTCTTGGATTGCCGGAAGTTGGACAGAATCATAGTCTGGGTAGGTCCGTCAGCGGCAACATTGATGTCGATAATCTTCTGTTGTCCGGATGTTGTCGCGAACTTCATCGGAATTTGATTCCCGATTTCCGCGAGCTTAACATGTCTTTCCTTGCCATGGGCGTTGATGATGATCTCACGGAACTTGGCAGCCGGGAAATCCCATGCATATGGCATGATGCTCCTAGGCGGCAGCCTATACTTGATTGGCCTCCAGCCGGACCTGTCTTCAACTCCATCATCGTCCAGGCTAGGGTTGGCCTGGTAGAATGTGAATTCCGTATCACTCTCGTTTCGCATCTGATAGGGCCAATTCTTGGTCTCCAAGCTGAGATGCAGGAAGATTGTTGCACCCTCCATCAAGATCTCAGCGCGAATCAGACGTTGGCGTTGGCCTGCTTTGGCAATCTTGACGTGGGTGGTTCCAATGTCTGAGATGTTGAAAGGAGAGGTCCACTGGTTGTTCATGCCGGGATGACACAACGAAAGTTGCTTGATGGAGGTCTTCTGCATGAAGTGAAGTGGCTCATGGGCGCCGGGCTTCAGCGTCATGAACCCAGAAGAGCTAGACTCCCGTACGTTGATCTCCTCTCCAAGCTTGTTTTCCAGAACGAATCGTGGTGCGAGGGTGACGACCTTGGTCATCTTATATTTGCCTTCTCCAGCCTCAGTGGTGATGCCAATGTGCACCTCAGTGTTCCTGGACGGCGATGGCAGCACCACCTCGGTTGTGCTTCCGATGGCGTCGAAACTCTGCGGCTTGCTCCATTCCGAATCCGCAATCTGCAGCAAAGCTCGGTTTCTATGATCTTCGTTGCCGTAGGAGAACATGAATGGAGTAGCTCTGGGACGGTTGTTGCCAGACCTGGAGGACAGAGTTGACTGTCCGGCTGCTGGTCGGGCGCCCTGCAAGAAACCCTTCGCTCTGATCTGCAAGTCAAGACCAGTCTTATTCAGGATAATGTAGGGACTGTAGACCGTGACTCTGAAAGCTCCACCGCTATCAGGAATCTTGTGGTAATGGAGCTTGAGATTGAGCTGCAAGCCTTCCTCGTCCTTGCAGAGCAGCCTGTCTTCCTTTTTGAAATCGTCCGAAGCCCCAGAGTTGATGATGGCAAAGTCGCTGGGCTTGAAGACAGTGTCCTGCATGTCAACACTGAGGAGGAGCAGGTGTGATAGCTCCACAACATGCACAGGGCTAAGTCCGCCTTTGCGGAGGAAGTTTGCCCAATCCTTTTTGGTGTTCTTGTCGTAGATGCGATACTTGAAGTCGTAAGGAAGCAAGTTCTCGAGGATGACTGGAGGCGACAGCTTGATGCGCATGTAAGGATAGTTCCTGAACGAGAGATTAGTCAAGGATCAAGATAAGATAATGGCAGACTTACTTGGTCAAAGGATTCGACCGATCAAAGGTGGCGTTGAGCTGGAAGTAGAATGGGTCCCCGTTCTCCCCCTTACAGACCATCGTCCGTGTTGGCCGCTTCAGGAGGTCTCTCCACCACAAAGTCTCAGAGGACCAGGCGTAGCCAAATCCAGAGTCGGGTCGTACTAGCAGAGACTTCAGGAACACGGCACCCACAGGAGCCGGGCGGCTCTCACCAGGAGCGATCTTCTCAATCTTGAGCAGATGACCCTCTTGCGCGTCGTAGACACCAAGCTCGACTGGGATCTGGGTGAGGTTGTCAACTACGAGGGGCGATCGTAGAGTGACATATTTGACATTGTCCTTGCCCAAGGTGACCTCGACGAGAAGTCGGTGCAAAATGTTGTCAGTCTTCGGCTTAAGGCCGTAGATCGCTTCACCCTCACGGTTCAGCCTGACGTTCTTGACCGGGTCAAAGCCACTACCTTCCAAGTGAATGCCGACACTACCAGTACTGCTCTCGGTCGATAGGTTCTCTCGCATTTTCTCCCACGGTTCGAAGCTCCAAGGGACTTCCTGCCCGTCCTCGAGACGCGCGGTCATGTTGTCGTCCGTCGTCATACTCTTTGACTGTACGACAACGTCAAATCCGGTATAGTTCCGGATGCGGTAGGGGGCATCAACACCACGCGGTTTGCCGAGAACATCCTCGTCCTTGCTTAGGAAAGCGAAGGACTTGGACGCCAAGGCTATGGTGGCTGTCGTGATTGTGACATCAAAGATCTTCTTGGAAGCGACATCAATAGACAAAAGACCCGACTGCTGCTCTCTCGCAATGCCAAACCCGACCTGCCAAGGCTCTAGCAGAGGCTCCCACGCGGACTTTGAAAAATTGTACACATTCGTATAGATATCGATCGCAGTTTCAGCCTTGAGATTCGAAGACCAGTCTTCGGCCGTGGCGGTGAAGTTTTTGATACCCAGGTCCAGGATGGGAAGTTCGTGGACATCGCCAATGAGAACAACGCGGATGCCCTCAATTGTTGCCGAAAGTTCCTCGTGGCGCTTAGGCTGAGTTTGAACAGCTGTGTTGTTGGAATCATTGTGGGCTTGTTTGGCTTGAGATGCTGCTACCAATGCAGTCTTGGACATCATGGTCTTATTCGCAATGGTTGAAGGCCCCTTGCCACTGGCAGTCCGCTGCTTCAGACCTGCTTGACGCAGCTTTCTCGCCTTCTCGTCCGCTGCCGATGCG